TTACGTCTGACTTTTCTTTTGCCAAATCACCGCGTAAGGTTGCTGCCATACCTCTTACTGCATATTTACTGGCCGGATATATACTCATATTTGTTGATAAAAAGTCTGCAATGTGTCCGGTTATACTGAAATCAAAGAAATTATCGACAAATATTTCAATTTGTATCTATCGCTACGCGCGAATATCTTTCGTATTTATTGTATGAAGTAACATTTTTGTTGTTCTTGAGATTTTTATTTTTGTGTTTAATACACACCTGCTTATATTTATGATATGACCTGATGTTTTCCGTTTTTTGACGGATTGAATAAGTTCGCGCGAACAAATTGCCGTCCCGAGCACGTTTACGTTCAAAATGTTTTGCAAATTTTCCGTGCTCTCTTCTTTCAAACACAAAATAACAAAGTTAAAACAAAATCAGAACTTCAGGTTTTGCAAGATTTTCTTGCGTATTACCATAGACATATATATACATATATACATGATATATACATATATACATATATACATATATATATTTGATTACCTTAGACACATATACATGTATACATATATGCGTCTATGCTGATTACAAATAAAATTACCTGAAAGCGACACCGTCGAGAGGACACCAGCGTTATTAATCAAAACATCAACACCATTCAGATGTTTTTCCGCCCACTTGAATACCTCGAGAATGTCTTCTTCTTTTTGAACGTCGCATCGTATGGGATGTAATTTCGCGTTGCATTTCCTTTGAACATCCGCGGCCAGTTCTTGCAACTTTTCCATCCGTCGTGCGACAGCGATCACCTTCATCCCGTTTATCGCGAGTGTTCGCCCGATGTCCGCGCCGATTCCACTGCTCGCACCGGTGACGAGCGCGACTTTTCCCAACCACCGTTCCATTGTGAAAATCTCGACTATTAATCATTCAGAGTGAGTTTCGATGCATATATATACATTATCCTTACCAGTAGGAGCAACAACGAGATATAACGATAACATAATTAATATAAACTTATTAATATAAGTTTTGTTTTTAAATATATTCTTACAATAATACTGATGGATTTTTAAACATTGTTTTTTGCACCAGTGATGCAATATTCGTACAAATCCACTTTTTTTCTGTACTTGTTACTTTATAGTTTAAGGTACAGAATATTTATATTAAAGAATATCTGCAATTTTTGACACACAGATGATTGCAAAATAATATCGGAACAGTATTGTGCAAAACCTCTTTTATAAAGAATATCACAATTACACATACAATTATACAACTACAATTATAATTTATTTCAAATAATTGTAATATATAGCAGTATTTTTATATTTTTGCAATATATCTGCACAGAGGTTATCACTAACACGGCACATCATATCAGTGATAATAAATTTCATTAATTAGTGATTGTACTTACATCCAATTGTAATCACAGTTAAAACTTTTTGTTAATTAGAAAAATAAGTTCAGTATATGTATTGGTCCGTATTCTGTAGCATTGTATTATTCAAAATTGCTTCACATTGTTTTATCTTGTGACTAATTCAGAAATCAACACATGTCATTACGAATGCTGTGTTTACATAATAATGTCATAACTCATCGAAAGTATCTTCAAACGTATAAAACTTATATCGAGATTTTCAAGCTTATCTATATGCATCATGTTTTGATATCTCGCCATTTGCACGACGATATTTTTATGAACATATTTTTTGACTTTCATAAAAACATTAGAAATATTATAATAATTTTTCATCGTTTGCTTATTGTTTTCGTCACGTGAGCGATCACTATCGGTCGTGTAAATAAAAAATGATCAGAATTATAAATCATCAGAATTATATAACTCGTAATAAAACTAAAATTAGTGTATTATGAAGGTTCCGTTATATAATCGCATTTTATAATTGTCTAACTTTGGTTATGGTCGTGTCTGTCCATTTTGGCAATACACAAAGTTATACTGGATCATTCACCGGGATGATGCACGAGAAAAACATGGATCATTTGCCAGAGATATTTTTTTACCTGTTACGATCTGTTCTTAGTAATGTACCGTGCATTGAGTTTGCGTAATGATAGAAATGCGGGCAGGAGAGAAGACTCGCTGACCTTGTCAGGTGAATATACATTTGTCTACAAGTGAATGGCGCTAAAACTGACCTAATGTTCCGCGCAAAATGAATTACATTAAAAAATTCTTTGACAAGAAAAATGAAAAAAATACGATACTCAAGAATAAAAATACATATACGATAAAATGTAGCACACACACACACACACAATTAAGCATTATAAATATATTATTATACATTATAAATATATATATATATATATAATGTATACAAAATAAAATTATTATACATTATTATAAATACAATTATATAAATACATACAAACTAAGAAATATATATTTATTCTTCAATTTTTAGTTAACTGCAAGTTTGAGGTGTATTAGTTTAATTATTTGCTGACACAAATATGCGCTTTAAAGAAAGATAGAATTATTTTGAAGGCACGTATACACGCTCAGAATAAGTTTGTTTTAGTTCGTGGGATAGGCGCATATACGCGTTTTCAGTAAGTTTTGCAAAAACCTATCTGCTTTTTTAAACTTCGAACAAGAAAGAAAAATATACACTAAAAATGTTAGACCAAGTTTTATTCAAAAGTTCTCGTTTACAAAGCTTTTTCTATTTGTTAGCACATATTAATTTTTTATTGCGCAGTTCTGTATCGAAAGAATTAAGATGAAGGTGGTTCCTCGTTTGGGTTGTGAGCAAGTAGTGTTATATCCCATATCTGAAACGAGAGAATTATCGTTATTGATACATTAAATTTGTTTTAAATTAGCATTAAGAGATTTCTATAATATTTTGTACAATTTACTTTTTGTTTAAAGCACTGTGTTATAATTGTTTAAACTAAACTGAATATGACTTGTGTCATGTAACGCGTATTCTTTTTATAAGTTGTTTAAAAACGCTTAAACTCCCTTATAGACTTATAATCGACACAAGTAAATATAAAAAAATAGTGTATNACAATTGTACTTCGCGTACTTATTGCTAATATCATACCTGTACGTGAGGCGGCATACTCAGGATATAAATGACCGTGTCCGCAATATCCTTGACCTCCAAAACAGGACCGAAATTTACTTTACCGAACTCATCTATCATCTCCGATTTTACCGGTCCGGGAATTATGTTCTATATTTGTGATATCAACATATTTTACAATACTGTTCTCGTGTGTTTGTTATTATTGAAAAGTTTTCTATAGATAGAGTTTGCGTACCGTAACTTTTACGTCTAACTTTTCTCTTGCCAAATCACCGCGTAAGGATGCTGCCATACCTCTTACTGCATATTTACTAGCAGGATATAAACTCATGCTTACTGGCATCATTTCTACAAGTTGTCCGGCTATACTGGAGTCAAAGAGTTAACGAAAAATTTTTTGTTTGTATCTTTCGCTTTTTGCGAATATTTTTCGAAGTTATTTTATAAATTTGACATTATCTTTGTTTCTAAGATAGTTTTTATTTTCGTATTTAATACACACCTGCCAATATTAATGATGTGACCCGATGCTTTCCGTTTTTTGACGGACTGAATAAATTCGCGCGAACAAATTGCCAGCGCAAGCACGTTTACGTTCAAAATTTTTTGCAAAGTGTCCGTGCATTCCTCTTTAAACACAAAATGACCACTTTATAATGAAATTAAAATTTTCGGTTTTGTGAGATTTTTTTGCGAAAGTAGAAAGAAAAATACTTGATCAATTTGATCTGATTACAAAAAAAATCACCTGAAAGCGACACCGTCGAGATGACACCAGCATTGTTAATCAAAACATCAACACCACCTAGATGTTTTTCTGCCCACTTAAACACTTCGACAATCTCTTCTTCTTTTTGAACGTCGCATCGCATGGGATGTAATTTCGCGTTGAATTTCCGTTGAACATCTGCGGCCAGTTCTTGCAGCCTGTCCACTCGTCGCGCGACGGCGATAACTTGCATTCCTTTTATGGCGAGTGCTCGCGCGATCTCCGCGCCGATNCCACTGCTTGCTCCGGTGACGAGCGCGACTTGTCTCGACCAACGTTCCATTGCGTACTAAATCATCCAGAGTGGTTTCACTGTGGGTTATAAATACTGATATTAGTAGTAGGGATATTTTACACATTTTCCTACTGGACTCCATCTTATACGTGGACTATCTTATACGTGGACTCTACTAACATGCATCCTGATATAAATACTGATATTAGTAGTAGGAATATTTTCACATATCCCTACTACTAATATCAGTATTTATTTATATCAGGATGCATGTTAGTAGATTCCACGTATAAGATAAGTTTCGCTCTCACACATATAGTCATGCAATAATATTGCAACGTTGTAGACATTTCTGTACTGTTGATGCAATATTCGCACAAATCTATTTTGAGGTTTATTAATATTTTGTTAATTTATGATTTAAATACTGAATGTTAAAGAGATATCATCTGCATTATCTTCGCGCGCGTAAAATTTATATCAATTTGTTATGAGTTTATCTGAGTATATTTTTGTATCTCGCCGATTGCGCAATAATATAAGCATTTTTCGACTTCCATAAAAACATCAGAAATGTTATAATAATCTTTCTCTTTATCGCGTGTGCGATTACTATTGAATACGCAATAATATCATAAATAGTAACATGGAATATAGAAAGAATAGAAAATGCAAATCATGCAGGATGAAATCATGCATTCCGTCCAATAAGTGACTGTTTAATNGTCGTAATTAATTTCGATGATACGCAAGGATAAACAAGATATTTTGACAATTTAATTAACACAAGAGAAACATAAATTTTATCTGAATTCTTGATCAAGAGATTAGCCACCTCGGTCGGTTACTGTTTACTTTTTTTACTATCGAAAGAGAATCGGATTTACGCAATAGCGGAAGNCGAGCGANAAAGAAGATGCTCGCAATTTCGCGTCAGGNGACTGCAGGCGACTTGNTTGCACGCGAAAGCGTGAATGCAATTAAATATTAACGCAGTGTTCCGCGCTTCGAATTATAAACAACTTTCCGACAAGAAAATTACGAAGAAATTTAGTACAATACATAGATTAAAAATAAATATAGAATATAATATATGAACAAGAGTTTTTTTACTATAAAATAACAAAATAAGTTCANTTATTTTTTGTTTTCCNATAAAGATCGCGATATATTTTTACAGTTAATCTTGTTANTAGTGCTGGCATATATATATATAAATTTGCTTAGAAATAACATAATTATTTTGATGTATAGATTAGCATACGTCAGAATAAATTCTCTTTAGTCTGTTCTCTTAGATAAGCGCATAAACGCGTTTTCAATAACAGTTTCGCAATAATCCACTTGCTTAATTAAACTTTAAACGGAGAGATAGACTGTACGAGCCACTAAAGATATTGCGCAGAAGTCAAGTCTGCTTATTTAAAAGTTTTCGTTTGCTTGTTAGCTTTTTCTATTTGTTAGCACAAANTATTTTTTTATTGCGCTTTCTGTACCAAAAGGATTAAGATGAAGGTGGTTCNTCGTTTAGGTTGTGAAACGGCATTATTGTTATATCCCATATCTGAAACGGATTGTAGTTTCATGTTATCGATACATTAACTTTGTTTCTCAATTTCTTTGTTTTACAAATTTAATGCGTTTATTTAAACCAATAAATTATAATTATTTAAACCAATTATTAATTATTTAAACCAATTATTTAAACCAATGAATATTATCTGTGCGCATATTCATTTTATAAGTTGCTTATTCAAAAACGCGTAAACTCCTGCGTGGATATAATCAACATGTAAATAATCGGTGTATCATAGTTGTCTTCGTACTCTGTACTTGTAGCTAATCTCACCTGTACGTGAGGCGGCATACTCAGAATGTAGATGACCGTATCCGCAATATCCTTATCTTCTAATGTAGGATTTGCTGCACTGGCATACTTTGCTAAGAAGTCCGTCTTTACCGGTCCTGGACTGATGTTCTATATTTGTGATATCAAAAGTATTTTAAAATATTGCTTTGGTGTGATTGNCAACTTATTATTGATAAAAGTTTATCACGAATAGAGTTTGCATACCGTAACTTTTACGTCTGACTTTTCTTTTGCCAAATCACCGCGTAAGGTTGCTGCCATACCTCTTACCGCATATTTACTGGCAGGATATATACTCATGCTTAGATCCATCATTTCCGCAATGTGTCCTGCTATACTGGAATCAAAGAGAGAAAAAAACAAAAAACTCTTTTTGTATCTGTCGCTGTGTGCGAGTAGGTTTTATATTCGTTGTATAACTTAAGATGTTTTCATTGTTTCTAAGATTTTTTATTTCGTGTTTAATACACACCTGCTTACATTAATGATATGACCGGACGCTTTCCGTTTTTTGACGGACTGAATAAATTCGCGCGAACAAATTGCCGGCGCAATCGCATTTACGTTCATCATTCGATGAAAATTTTCTGTGGTGTCTTCTTTTGGACACAAAATGACAAAGTTAAATCAAAACTTCAGGTTTCGCGAGATTTTCTCGCGACAGATACTTAAAAAATAAAAGCTAAACAACAAAATAAAAAGAAAGGTTGATTTATTTATTTTTTTGATAAAGAAAAAAATCACCTGAGAGCGATGCCCATGAGATGATACCGGCATTGTTAATTAAAACGTCAACACCACCTAGATGCTTTTCTGCCCACTTGAACACTTCGAGAATCTCTTCTTCTTTTTCAACATCGCACTTTACGAAATGTAATTTCGCGTTGAATTTTCGTTGAACATCTGCGGCCAGCTCTTGCAGCTTGTCCACTCGTCGCGCGACGGCGATAACCTTCATTCCTTTTATCGCGAGTGTTCGCGCGATCTCCGCGCCGATTCTACCGCTCGCTCCAGTGACAAGCGCGACTTTTCCCGACCAACGTTCCATCGTGAATTAAGTTCTTGTACTCAGTTATCCAGAGTCGTTTTCGATGTATATATATGTATATATATGTATATATATACGTGTATATGTATAATGTGTACATGTACACATTATACATATATTCATGTACACATATGTATTGTATGTATATCTCTACTATTAGTACCGGGATACATTTTAATAGTACAAGTTAAATAAGTTTCAATGTAACAATTGAAAAAAAACGTGTTGTAAAAACAAATTAAAATATTAAAACCAGTATTGAGCAAAAATCAAGATTTTAATAATAAAAAGAAATTACATAACAAGGTTTTTGAATTAAATATTTCGAACTCTCACTGGAGTCTTTTTCAGTCGCAAGTAACAATTACAGATATAATTAATAATTATAAATAAAAAATATAAATAGCAAGAAGCAGTCGCAATATAAAAGAGTGTAACGTAAGATGAGTGATAATCATCCATGTTAAAAAATTGTTTTGGTAAATCTGTTAAACCCGCAATGTAAATGTAGTCCGTAGTATGTGTTAAAAAAATGTGTCATTACCATGTGAATGACAGGCTGTAATAATAGAGCAAGAAGAAATACTTGGCCAAAGTAATGTACCGCAAGAATAAAATTCAGAAATAATTTATTTGAAAACACCCAATCATATGTTAGGGTCAGAGATAAGAGGCAAGAGATATACATGTATCCCATTCAAACAGGTTTGTTTATCGAGATAAACTTTACAATTCATGATTGTTTTGTGTCGTTTAATAAATTAAAATACGATGATCTCTTGCTATACAATACACGTGATTGCAATAATGAAACTCTATTATTCCATATCTCTTGTAGAATATTACACAATTACAAATATTTATACAATATTCCTGTAATATTTGTAGTATGTAGAAATATTGTAATAGTTCTGCAATATTTCATGATGTAGAGAATAACACGCTATTATTTCTAGAGTGTGAATCTCGTGCTTTCAGCAATATTAAGTGTTTCTGTCCAGCTGTTGTGCGCAAATGTTCCACACGACGCGACGGCCAAGCAAAAACACCTATTATTAATTGCATATGATTACAATATAAATTCGATTAATCACAGTATAAGTTCATCGTAAATGTAATGTCCCGTAAATATTCTGTATATCATGATGTTCGAAATATGATCGCGTTTTTAAATTGTGTCTGTTTTTTTTTTAAATCAACGCGACATGACATAACGACACAGCGCTTACGTAATTATATCATAATTGATCAAAAAATTATTTTTGCGCGTGTAAAAAGTATATCTATTTTATTTACAAAGAAAAATACAATATATAGGAACAATATATGGATAAAATATATAGAAACGGAGAAGGAATAAAAAAATAACAATTAACAGAGAGGTTTTTAAGTAGAAAAAAAGAAATATATTTTGTTATTTGGTTTGCAGTGAACTGCAAGTTGTATTTATAATATTTTAATTTAATATTTTGAATGCTAGCGTATATGTGCGCTTAAAAAAAGAAGAGTATTTTTATCTATGATGCGTGTGTAATATGAGATTAAAAATGAGAAGTTTATTTTAAATTGTAGAATACGCGCTCAAAATAACAAGTTTCTTACGAGCTACCTTATTTATGCTTATTTAAAAATTCTCGTTTGCGTGTTTGATTTTGCTTCTGGTTAGCGCGAATTATTTTTTTTATTACGCTATTCTATATCGAGAGGATCAAGGTAAACGGGTTTCAGCATTTCTCTTTTCTGTCAGTGTTGTGGAACGGAAACATTATTATATCCCATATCTGAAACAGATTGTTACATGTACATCGAGAGATTTGTTTTATTACAAACTAACATCAAGAGATTTGTACATCATTTACGTTTTATAGTTAAAACATTGTGTTATAATTGTTTGAGGATATTGTTACTTATTACGCATTTTCTTTGTACGTTTACTCAAAAACGCGTGGGGGGGGAGAGGGAATTCCGTATAAATTTAATCACCACTGCAGATATAAAAAATAAACCGTGTCACAATTGTTTTCATATTATATGTTTGTCACTGGTCTCATACCTGTACGTGAGGCGGCATGTTCAGAATAAAGATGACCGTGTCCGCGATGTCCTTATCTTCCAATGTAGGATACAATGTAAGAGCGGAGATGTCTGTTATCATGTCCGTTTTTACCGGTCCGGGACTAATGTTCTATATTTGCAATATCAAGATATTTTACAATACTGTTCTCGTGCGTTTGTTATTATTAAAAAATTTTTTCTAGATAGAATTTGTGTACCGTGACTTTTACGTCTAACTTTTCTCTTGCCAAATCGCAGCGTAAAGACGCTGCCATACCTTTTACTGCACATTTACTGGCAGGATATATACTCAAGCTTATTGGCATCAATTCTGCAACGTGTCCGGATATACTAAAGTCAAAGAGTTAACGAAAAATATTTTGTTTGTATCTCTCGCTTTTTGCGAATATTTTTCGAAGTTATTTTATGAATTTAACGTTATATCTTTGTTTCTAAGATGGTTTTTATTTTCGTATTTAATACACACCTGCCAATATTAATGATCTGACCCGATGCTTTCCGTTTTTTGACGGACTGAATAAATTCGCGCGAACAAATTGCCAGCGCAAGCACGTTTACGTTCAAAATTCTTTGCAAAGTGTCCGTGCATTCCTCTTTAAACACAAAATGACCAATTTATAATGAAATAAAAATTTTCGGTTTTGTGAGATTTTTTCGTAAAGATACTTTAAAAGAAAAAAAGAAGAAAAACTTTAAAAGAATAAAATAAAAAGAAAGTTATCTGATTTATTCATAGACATGTATACATATATAGACTAGAAATTGCGGAGAACGAGCTCGCGACGTTTACAGATCTAACTTCGCATACAACGATAACTTTCGCGCGAAGTCTGTGTCGCGCAATACACGTTTGTATGTTATTAATCGCGTATACCTTGTGTATACAATGTTTACATACGTAACATACACATTTCGCGTGCGGCTTACTTCACGTATCATTTAATGTCGCATTGACGTCGCGGCACTTTTTTCTCATCGTTGCACTGTCGATTGTCGTCATTCAGTCTATATATATATATGTATATATATATATATGTCCATGGATTTATTGTGGTTGATTAAGAAGAAACTCACCTAAAAGTGACTCGGATGAAAGAACACCGGCATTGTTAATCAAAACGTCAACACCACCCATGTGTTCTTCCGCCCATTTGAACACCTCGAGAATATTTTCTTCTTTTTCAACGTCGCACTGTATCGGATATAATTTCGCGTTATATTTTTGCTGAACTTCCGTGGCTAGTTCTCGCAGCTTTTCTATTCGTCGCGCAATGGCGATCACTTTCATATTGTGTTTCGTGAGTATTTGTGCAATTCGCATGCCGATCCCGCTGCTCGCGCCGGTAACCAACGCGACTTTATTTGCCCAACGTTCCATCGCCGACGAGTTCGTTTCACAAATTAATTCATGTAGTGAATGTCATCTTATATATATCTTTAGTTCTCCCACTTTCTTTCTTTCCATTCTTCCGTGTGCTCATCTTTAGTTCTCCCACTTTCTTTCTTTCCATTCTTCCGTGTGCTCATCTTGTTACTACGATTTGTTTGTACTTTTATAATTATAATAATAATAAATGATTGTAATAATAATATGATATAATAATAATAATAATAATAAAATGATTATAATAATATGATTGTAATATAATAAATTCTTTCGTAAAGTTTGTACATATATATACATATATAAATAACGTGACGACTGACACTTCGAAATAATTGATAAAATAATAACACTGTCCGACACTCGTTTTACATTTGACTTGCGGTCATTGACTTGCATATCATTTCTTGAAGATTTTTGATTGCTAAAGTTGAACCTGAGTTCAGAAAAATTTTAACACATCAGAATTTTCAAGAATATTAGGATAATATAGGCCAAAAATGACGATTTTGATCATATTTAGAATGATATTGCAGTTAAGAAAATCTTATTTTTCCAATTTTGTTTATACTATCTTAAAATATTATTCTTTACCTTTAAAATAAGGTTTTTTTGTACAATTTTTTAAGACCAAATTACGTAGGTAGGTTTGAAGTTAGACACGTACAGCTAATGTCATATCTCCTTCCCGGGCGCATTTTTATTTTTGCAGTTACGTAATTTGTGTTTCTTAGACTTAATATTTCGAGATTAGCAGTTGCTAGAAGATCATTTATAAAATATAAAAAAAAATAAAAATATACTGTGGCTAAATGATTTTAATTCAGCGACGAAAAATCTTCAAGAAATGACATATTACAAGTCAAATACAAAAAAAAAGTCAAATTTGTTTTTATTGGACAGTGACAATTGATAATTAATAAGTGCTTATGAAATATTAAAATGCTTACATAATGCAAATGTAAATGGAATGTTGTTGTAAAAGTTTTTATAATTCACTTTTTATAATACACTATTTTAATAAATGCACGAGCACGATGCTTATACGCAACAGGCAGCTGTTTAGTGATTATGCATGACGTAAGAATCACGCATATACATATATATCGTAGTTGAGAAGAAACCAGATATGCGTAATAATGATTTTATTTGTCGTCAGTTTCATTTGTATGCGCATTTATATGTATCTCGTTATTACAAAAAAGACGTTTATTTTGGCGCATGTAACAATTCGTTCATCGATCAACTAAAAAGTGAGATGTCAAACAGGATCTCTCGTCTTCAATAATATAAGAAAAATAATATAAAAAATTACACTTGTGATGAAGTCATTCGTTCGTCTTCAGAAGTATTAACAACGTTGTTGGCTTGGATGGTTACGATCTGCTTTTACATAATCGGCGTTTTTACACATGAAGTTGCAATAATAATACTTTAACAATGACGATGCACTTTGTGCGTAAAGGCATTTACGCCGTTCTGTCTATGAATATTATTGAGCGTACTTAAGGCTTGTGTGATTGAAATGCTCGATCTTACTATTGCGTTGATGTAAGCCTGATCAAATGCACATGCAAAACACATACACGAGAACGCATTTGAAAACTTATTTCCTTATATCTATACACAAATACAAGTGAATTAACGTTATCAAGAGCACGCGCTCAAGTAAAACACATTAAAACGATTATTAAAATGATTATTTGCATGGTTATATTCTACTTAACAAGCGGTTATACATGTGTTATGTTATTCAATGAGATATCGTAAACTGAAATTTGTATTATATATTATTAGGTACGGTTTTTTGTTTGAATTTAAATGTGTTTTACACATCTTTGTGACATTTTTCTTAAGTATTGCGTGTTGTCTCGTATCTTTTATTTCTTTCTATATATATATAATTTATTCGCTCTTCTTCTATATTTACAATATATTTATCCAAAACTACTTAATAAATACGATCATCACTTCTTGTCTCTTATATTTATGTTACAAGGTTGCGTCTTACGAGCGAGAGCCTAGGAGAGACAATGTCGAATGTGGGTTATTGGCAAAATTCCGGGTCACAAAGCAGATGCGCGCGCGGAGGTCAAAGTAGCGAACGCCGACAATGACAATGAGTGGAGGGAAAAGATTTTGAATATCGCTGATTCTGCTACCCTGAAGTGTCATCCGCGCGCGTCGTGAGATTCCGCCTGGAGCTTGCTTTCGTTCCACGTTTTTCTGCTTTCGGAAAGCCTGCTTCTTCTCTCCAGCTTGTTTTTCACATGCTTAATGTAAACATCATCTCAATTTGTTCTTCTGAACTTCTTGTTAAATTGTTAACATTAAACAGATATTAAACATTGAATCGAAACAGTGTAAATCACTTAAAGAACGTTAATGTCAGATAATGTACCGCATAATTTTGTTCTCAGAATTTATTCACGCGATTTAATCGAGTTGATTATAATATTTAAGTATGTTAAGTGATTTTTCTAAATTTTTTGTTCTTTGTTGATTGTATGTTTCTATGATTCAAGGTTGAATATTGGTAAATATAATTTTTGCACAGTAATGTGACACATTAAAAGCGCGTACAATTGATATGATATTTATCGATACGATATCAATATTTTAGGAAATCATTTAATTGATTGTGATACAAAAATACTGTAAAAAAATTCGTTGCATATGAACAGACTATTTATTATATAGGTTTGATAAAAGATCTAACATTACGTTGCGATTAAATTATTCGCGCTTGTGTAAAAACAGTGATTTGTACCGAGATATTTTAGAGAGATCAACGTTATATCAAGAAGAATAAGATAAAAAAAAACTTTGTAAAGAAAGTCGTATATGCATAAACAGGACATGATGTGATTTATGACTGAAACCGCACTTTTTTGTACTCTTCTTTGTGACTACTTGAACATGGGTCTTTGATGGAAATATATTTCACATTTTACAATTTAAAAACATAATTACTATTTTTGTGCCGGGACAAAACTAGAAACAGAAATCCGCTTGACGCAACTAAACTGCGATGTATGATAATTCGACTAATTCGTGTGCGAATAAATTCTCTCTAAGAGCAACATTACACAGCGCATTTTCTGTTACTTGGCAAAAATTCTTGCCGCTCAGCAGCTTTTAATTCTCTTCGCGAATTTTCGAGAAACGCAACGACGGAAACTTTTCCGCGAGAGAGATTTCATGCGACGCGAGATGTATATATGGCGCACAGGAAAAAAATTAATCGTCCTTGCCGCAAAAAAATCTGCATGAGTTGGCTTGTTTGGTTAATCACACGTGGTAATCACATGTATCGTGATGCTGAAAGTAAAGAATGAACAGTGTTGCGCTTAGATAATTTGAAATAATCTAGATACAGATTAGAGATAAAACATATACGTATGTATCTCAGATAAGATAAAGATAATCCGATTTGATCATATCTAGATAAAAGATGATTTAGATGAGATTTTTATCTAGATAATTTTAAGATATTAAAGAAGTTGGGAAATTAAATAATACATCTCAAGAAAATCTATAGAAAATAAGCGTATATTTTGATATACATTATATTTAATATAATGTACATTTGAGTATAATAAGCATATTATAAGTATGTAATAAGTAAATTACATTTATTCTATATATAAGGTTAATGCCCAGAATAACCAAGACTGAGTGATCATATTTTGCAAAGTCTGCAATAACACATTATGCCAGTACAATGTAGCCAGCATTCAAACATAATCTGTTATTTCAACTAGTGTCGACAGAAAAACAGAAAAAAAAAAAAAAGAATATAAATATGTCATGCCGTGATGCAAATATTATTGCATCAATCAAGCAGAACTTGCTCAAAAAATGTAGCAGATTTGAAGCATAACGTGCTATTGTCATTTCATTCTTCATTTATTTCTATATTTTTGCTGTGTTGTTTTCTTTACGTATCGTGCCTACATAATTCACTCACTATGATGACACAGCTGAGTGTGAATCTGCTGCAAAGTGCTGATTAAACCTGTGTGCATACTGCTGGCATACTGCTATTATTTGGCTATCGGGGTGTAAATATATTATAAGGTTTTAGTTTTTTAAAACAATAGTTTTTCAGATGTGCTATCGGATAAACGATTTCTTCGAGGTACAATTATTTGTTATCCTGTACTGAAAAGTCACATTCAGAGTGCGTACTCATTATCTTAGACAATTTACAAAAGATACTACTTTTTTATCTGAGATACAGATAAAAATGTCATATATTTTAATTATTTAGATAAAGATAAAATAAAACAATTATCACATCTAGATGAACATCTAGATACAATTATCTAAATAACGGAAAACACTGAGAATGAAGAACAAAGTGCACTTAGTGCATTCAGTCAGTTAAAATGTAGAGATAAAAAAAAGAACATTTGTGTGCAATAATAAGACACAAAAGTGTTTTTATACATTTTTTAATTGCTAAACAAAAACGAAAAATAAAATCGTTATTCTCTCGTCGTTCGAAACTGGTTTTTAGCAGCGATAAGATAGAAGAAGAAGATTATATATACACGCAATCACATAAAATTGTGTTTGACGAAGTTGCTGCTGTTACGAAAGTAAACCTCATGCAAATTGCATCGCCGCCGCAACATTACGCAATACAATATTTTCTAGTCAAAGCGCGGAACAATAAATTGACTCTCGCTTGCTTTCGAGGCCATGATCTTAGCAGCTCATGGAGGGCTGCGCGGGGCAACCGCAAAGGAAATGGGAAAAGTAATTAGTGCGGCGCGTGGGATAAAGCACAACGTGGCGGCCGTTCGGGCGCGGTTCCGCCGTTCCGTGATATGAGAGCAAGAAAACCGGGTGACTCGTGGAGAGATTAGATTCGGATACGCGGAGATTTCTGCTCACGGACGAAGGATTAAAGATCTACGGAGTGGCTTGCTTAAGGATTAAAGTTGGATTATACCGAGACAAGCAAGCGAGACGTGGGGAACTCGCGAGCGGAATTGC